AGAGACGGGGTTTCACCATATTGGCTAGGATGGTCTCAATCTCTTGACCTCGTGATCGACCCACCTCGGCCTCCCAAAGTGCTGGGATTACAGGCGTGAGCCACCGCGCCCAGCCTGTCCAGGCTGGTTTCAAACTCCTGAGCTCAAGCAATCCACCTGCCTCAACCTCCTAAAGTGCTGGGATTACAGGTGTGAGTCACCACACCCAGTGAAGAAGGGGAAATGTGAGCATAAGCTAAATATTAGATGATAGTAGGAATTATTGTTAGTTAGGTGGGGTGAAAGTATTGGGGCTTACCTGAACAAAAACGAGGATGAACTAAGGTATCTACCATGATTATATTTGTAATCTGGTTAGTTAATAAACAGTGACTGCCTTTTTTTTTTTTTTTTTTTTTTGAGACAAGCTCTTGCTCTTTTGTCCAGGCTGCAGTGCAGTGGCATGATCTTGGCTGGTTTACTGTAGCATCAATCTCCGGGCTAAGGTGATCTTCCACCTAAGCCTCCCAAGTAGCTGGGACTGTAGGCCTATGCCACCATGCCCACCTAATTTTTAAAATTTTTAGTAAAGACAGAGTCTCATTATATAGCCCAGGCTGGTCTTGAACTCCTGGACTCAGGCGATTCTTCTGCCTCAGCCTCTCAAAAGTGCTGAGATTATATGAGTGAGCCACTGAACCTGGCTTCATTGCTTTCAAATTGGGGGAAAAAAGTATTGCAGTTATGATTTAACAAATTCTGTTTGTCAGTAATGTGTGGAAGGTATTAACAGATGAGATGGGATTAAATGTATGAGATTTGTTTAATCAGGAAGGGATGATGAAGTAAGATTGACTGTATTATTATTGAAGTTGTGTGATGAATATATTAGGGTTTATTTCATACTATTCTTTTTAGCATTTAAAACACTTTATAGGGCTGGGTGCAGTGACTTATGCCTGTATTCCCCATACTTTAGGAGACCAAGGCACGAGGATCGCTAAGCCCAGGAGTTTAAGACCCTCCTAAGGAACATAGGGAGACCCCTATCTCTGCAAGAAATTTTAAAAATTAGCCAGGCGTAGTGGTGCATACTTGTGGTCCTTTGGAGGCCAAGGTGGTAGGATCACTTGAGCCTGGGAGATTGAGGCTGTAATGAGCTGTGATCACACCACTGCACTCCAGCCTGGGCGACAGAGCAAAACCCTATATCAAAAGAAATTTTTTGGGCCAGGCGTGGTGGCTCATGCCTGTAATCCAAGCACTTTGGAGGCCAAGGCGGGAGGATCACCTGAGGTCGGGAGTTCAAGACCAGCCTGACCAACATGGTGAGACCCTCCCTCTTTAAAAAGAAAAATAAAATTTAAAAAAAAATTTTTTTTTGTTGTTGTTGTTAAAAAGCGGGGATACCAAACAGGGTGGGAATTTAATTTATAAGACCATATTATTATTAATATATATATTTTGAGATGGAGTCTCACTCTGTCACCCATGCTGGAGTGCAGTGGCGCGATCTTGGCTCACTACAACCTCCATCTCCTGAGTTCAAGTGTTTCTCATGCCCCAGCCCCCTGAATGGCTGAGATTACAAGCATGTGCCACCACACCCAGCTAATTTTTGTATTTTTAATAGAGACAGGGTTTCACCATGTTGACCAGGCTTGTCTTGAACTCCTGACCTCCAGCGATCCACCTGCTTTGGCCTTCCAAAGTGTTGGGATTACAGGCATGAGCCACCATTTCCAGCCTATAAGGCCATATTAAATCATGTTTTTAAGTATATAAAAGCAATGTTACAAAGAATTCTTTCTCTGCAGTGTACATACATTTGTATAAGTGTCTAATACATATTTACATGCCTATACAGTTAGACCTAACTTACAAATGGTTTATTCACTTATTTGGCAACTGTTTCTTGGTCATTTACCATGCAACAGGAATGCTACTGCAGAGGTGCTTAATTTTCTGTCTCTGCCTGTCCAGGAGCTTAAAACTCTCCTATAATCATTGGCTAACTTAATGTGTTCTCTGAAAACATGAGGAGGAGTTTTTAACTCAGACTTTGGAATTTGGGAAAGGTCCTTAGAGAAGAGTGGCATGTGAGCTATTGTAAAGGATAACCAGTCAGAGGGATAGGCATGGAAGTGGAATGGGATGGGAGAGAGATTTCCTGGCAGAGGACATAAGCTCTAAATGGAATGGGGATGAATTGGGGAAAGGAAAAGTACTTCAGAATACCTGGAGCAACCGGTACATAAGAGAGTGGTGGAGAAAAGCTGGCAAGGTAAGGAAAGGCCAGATTACAGTGGGTCTTGTGCCAAATAAGAGTTTAAACTTATCCTGAAAGCTGTGGAATGTTTTTCAAGCTTCTTTTTTTTTTTTTTTTTTTTTTTTAAAGTTGTAGAGATGGAGTGTCACCTTCTTGCTCAGGTTGGTCTTGAACTCCTGGGCCCAAGCCATCTTCCTGCCTCAGCTTCCCAAAGTGCTAGGATTACAGGTGTCAGCCACTGAGCCCAGCCATTTTTCAAACTTTTGAATAGTAGAGGGACAGGAGGATAGACAGAACATTCTCCTAAGAAGCTTGGCTATGAAAGTGAAGAAACAGCTAATAGTGCAAGAAGTTTTTTTTTTTTTTTTTTTTTTTTTGAGACGGAGTTTCGCCCTTGTTACCCAGGCTGGAGTGCAATGGCGCGATCTCGGCTCACCGCAACCTCCGCCTCCTAGGTTCAGGCAATTCTCCTGCTCCAGCCTCCTGAGTAGCTGGGACTACAGGCACGCACCACCATGCCCAGCTAATTTTTTGTATTTTTGGTAGAGACGGGGTTTCACCATGTTGACCAGGATGGTCTTGATCTCTTGACCTCGTGATCCACCCGCCTCGGCCTCCCAAAGTGCTGGGATTACAGGCTTGAGCCACCGCGCCCGGCCTGAAAGAAGTTTTTTAATGTGGAAGACTTCAGCATGATTTTATGGTGAGGGAAGAGAACACATTCCAGTATTTTCTCACAGCAACAGAATTACAGTGGTGAATTTTCAGGCCAATCCCACAGCTGTTTGTTTCTGTGCTCATATAAACTGCATAATATGTACTACAAATATATAAACATATTTCACATAAACACACCTCAGCCTCATTCGTTATATAGCAATTTATAGATTACTTCAGTTGAAAATAGTACTTTGTTCATTAGATTCTTAGCATTGTATATTCAGAAGATTTCATATTGACAGGTCCATTTAAGGTCCTCTATACCACTATCTGGAATTTTATGGACAAAAATGTTAATACTTTTCAAATATCTGTTATAAAAACAGTGTTTCAAAAATATGTATTCCAGGCCAGGCATGGTGGCTCACGCCTGTAATCCCAGTACTTTGGGAGGCTGAGTCAGGTGGATCACCTGAGGTCGGGAGTTTGAAACCAGCCTGGCTAACACGGTGAAACCCTGTCTCTACTAAAAATACAACATTAGCCAGGCATGGTGGTGGGTGCCTGTCATCCCAGATACTCAGGAGGCTAAGGCAGGAGAATCACTTGAACCCTTGAGGAGGAAGTTGCAGTGAGCCAGGATCGCGGCACTGCATTCCAGCCTGGGTGACACAGCAAGACTCTCTCTCTTAAAAAAAATTTTTTTTCTATGGGTGTAGGGAAAAGACTAAAATAAAGTGCTATCAAATGTTTTAATTTGGGCCAGGCATGGTGGCCCATGCCTGTAATCCCAGCACTTTAGGAAGCCAAAGCGGGCAGATCACTTAATGTCAGGAGTTTGACACCAGCCCAGACAACATGGGGAAACTCCATCTCTACTAAAAATACAAAAATTAGCTGGCTGCAGTAGTGCAGGCCTGTAATCCTAGCTACTCAGGAGGCTGAGGCAGGAGAATCGCTTGAACCTGGGAAGCGGAGGTTGCAGTGAGCCGAGATTACAGCAATGCATTCCAGCCTGGGTGACAGAAGGAGACTCCATCTCAAAAAAAAAAAAAAGAAAAGAAAAGAAAAAAGTTTAAATTTGTTTTATGTGGGTCTTGGGATTATAGTGTTTTCTTCTTTATGCTTTTCTGTGTTTTTCCAAATGTTTTACACAGAACACGTTACTTTTGTAGTCAGAAAAAGTGTTCTTAATTTTCTAATTTTTAAAATGATTTTTTTACCTATTGGGTATTAATATAGTAGGGAAACAACACTCAAATAAGTCAGGAGGCCAGGTGCAGTGGTTCATGCCTGAAATCCTAACACCTTGGGAGGCTAAGGCGGGAAGATTGCTTGCATTCAGGAGGTGAAGTTTGCAGTAAGCCCAGATTGCGCTCTGTACTCCATCCTGGGCAACAGAGCCAGACCCTGTCTCAACAAAAAAGCTTAAAAAGAAAAAAGTCAGTAAATTTCCAATATTTTTTCAGTTTTTTTTTTTTTTTTTTTGAGACAGGGTCTCACTCTGTTGCCCAGGCTGGAGTGCAGTGGTGCAATCTGAGCTCATTGCAACCTCCACCTCCTGGGTTCAAGCAATCCTTCCACCTCAGCCTCCCAAGTAGCTGGGACTACAGGCACACACCACAACACCTTCTTTTTTTTTTTTTTTTTTTTTTGGTAGAGACAGGGTTTCACCATGTTGCCTAGGCTAGTTTCAAACTCCTCCCACTCATGCAATCTGCTCGTCTGAGCCTCCCAAAGTGTTAGGATTACAGGCGTAAGCCACTGCTCCCAGCCAGCTTTCAATTCTTACCAATCTGTAAGTCATGCAACATAAAATCCACATCATCTCCTCCATTGGCTTGCTTTGAAGTACACCTTCGATAGTACGATGAAAGTCTTGTGATGTATAAAGTACAAAGTTGTGAATACCAGATAGACAAGTTAATAATTCCTACCAGCTTTCCTGGTTGGGGAAGAGTATATTTAAAGTTGCTGTCAAATAGTAAGTTATTTTAACAAAAATATCTATTTATGAGGTTTACTAGATTTATTTCAGTTAATTTCTTTTAGTTAATGAGGTTGTTTTTCATGCATATTATTTTTCCCTTAGGTAGTCAAGCCACACACTCCATTAATAAGGTTTCCTGACAGAAGAGACAATCCTAAACCCAATGGTAAGCTGTACTTTATTTAGATTTCTTTTAAAACTGTGTACATGAATATTTATAAATGAGTATTTTATTATAGGCAATATTTCTCATTTAAAAATCAGTTAAGACTATTGTAGCTTAGATTAAAATAGTGCCCTATGTAGCATGCAAGTAGAAGTTAACTTATGACCGGGTGCGGTGGCTCACACCTATAAACCCAGCACTTTGGGAGGCCAAGGTGGGCAGATCACCTAGGTCAGGAGTTCAAGACCAGCCTGGCCAACATGGATGACTCTTGAAGTATTATAATTCCAAAAGAAATTGAAGATTGACTTGATTTTGAAGGATTTTTCAATCCTTGAAATAGGATTGAAGAATGACTTGATTTCAAGAATGACTTGATTATTTGATAGTATTTTAAGAGTCAGTATTTTGACATCTGAATAATTTCTCTAATAAGATTTTTTTCTTTTTAATTTCAGTATCAGAAGCTTTGAGATCAGCAGGGCTACCATCTCACTCTTCTGTAATTTCACAACATTCTAAGGGAAGTAAATCACCAGATTTGCTGATGTATCAGGGTCCACCAGACACTGCAGAAATAATAAAAACATTACCTCAGAAATACAGAAGGAAACTTGTGTCTCAAGAAGAAATTGAATTTATCCAAGTATGTTGTTGTTCTATCTCAAGACTGTGCAAAATACCATAGCATTTGGGCTTTGGGGACTTCATTTGCTGATTTACATGCTATTCCTATTGTCTTGTCAGAGTGTGGTCAGAGCTAAGACAGGATGATCAGGTAGGCCAAGACTATGAGAAACAAACCATTGTCCAATCCTTCTGTAAATATGTGTGCTATATCAATGTCAATAGATTACTCACATAAAAAACAGCTCTTTGGAGTCCTTAATAATTTTTCAGAGTATAATGAGCTTCTAAGACCAAGAAATTTAAGGACAGGTCAACCTCGAGTCCCTTCCAAGTCTGAAATTATGGTTATAGAATTGATATGAGGGCTAGGCACAGTGGCTATGCCTGTAATTCCAGCACTTTGGGAGGCCAGGGTGGGTGGATCACCTGAGGTCAAGAGCTGGAGACCAGCCTGGCCAATGTGGTGAAATCTCATCTCTACTAAAAATACAAAAAATTAGCTGGGTGTGGTGGCAGGCACCTGTAATCCTAGCTAATCGGGAGGCTGTGGCAGGAGAATCGCTTGAACCCGGGATACGGAGGTTGCAGTGAGCCGAGATCATGCCACTGTACTCTAGCCTGGGTGACGAGCAAAACTCTGGAAACTGTCTCAAAAAAAAAAAAAAGAGAGATATACATATATATATACACATATATATATATATGTATATCTCTTTTTTTTTTTTTTTTTTTTTTA